TTGCTAAATACAGAATTTATGGAGTTGATGCTTAACAAGAACTAACAGAAATCATCACAGAATCATAGAATGACAGAATCACAGAATATGATGAGTTGGAAGGGATTCCTGAGGATGATAGAGTCCAGCTCCTGGCCCAGCACAGGACCAGCCCCAAGAGTCACATCATGTGCCAGAGAGTGTCTCCAGAACTCTATTAGGCTTGGTGCTGCTATCACTTCCCTGGGGAGCCTGTTCCAGCAACCGACTATGCTCTGGGTGAAAAACCTTTTTCTAATATCCAACCTAAACCTCCCCTGACACAACTTCAGGCCATTCCCTTGAGTTCTGTCGCTGGTCACCACAGAGAAGAGATCCGTGCCTGACCCTCCTCTTCCCCCCATGAGGAAGTTGTAGACTGCGATGAGATCTCCCCTCAGTCTCCTCCAAGTTGAACAGGCCAAATGACCTCAGCCGCCCCTTATACAACTTCTGCTCAACATCCTTTACAATCTTCGTTGCCCCCCTTGGACGTTCTCTAAGAACCTAATAACTTTCTATATCGCACTGACCAAAATTACATGCAATATTCAAAGTGAGGCTACACCAGTGCAGCACCAGTCCAGACTAGCTTATAGCCAGCACTGAGACTAGACTGACATTTTCATGAGCAGTAAAGGGTATTTTTTTAATTTTTTGGTTTGTTTGTTTGGATTTTTTTGTTGTTGTTGCTGGGGTTTTTTTGTGGTTTTGTTGTTGTTGTTGTTGTTGTTTTGTTGGGGTTTTTTGGTTTTTTTTGGTTTGGTTTGGGTTGGGTTTTTTTGGTTGTCTGGTTGGTTTGTTTTTTTTGTTTTTTGTTTAAGCATAAAGCAAAAAAACAATCTGTGAAAACATCAAATAAATAAATTTGCTCTTTCTTTATTACCTTAGAAATAATAGCAGATGGACCCTCAAGAGATCATCTGGGCCAATCCCAATCCTATCACACTGTCAGCAGTATCAAGTAAGTTTGTACAGAATAGCTTGAAGTACGCTGCAATGTAAGTAGGTATCACCCTGTAAGCAATTTAATGTACCATTCTCCTAAATTATTCTTCCTGTGACAGTGATGAAACTATAGGATCATAGAATGGTTTGGGTTGGGAGGACCTTAAAGATCATCTAGTTCCAACCCCTCTGCCATGGGCAGGGACAGCTTTCACTAGATCAGGTTGCTCAAAGCCCCATCCAACCTAGTCTTGAACACCTCCAGGGATGGGGCATCCACAACTTCTCTGGACAACCTGTTCCAGTGACTCACCACTCTCATGATTAAATTTTTTTTCCCTTATATCTAATCTAAACCTACTCTCTTATAGTTTGAAGTCATTCCCCCTTGTCTTGTCACTACACGCCCTTGTAAATAGTCTCTCTCCTTCCTTATAAGCTCACTTCAGGTACTGGAAGGCTGCAATTAGGTCAGTCTGAAGCCTTCTCTTTTCCAGGCTGAATAAACCCCATTCTCTCAGCCTTTCCTCATGTTCCATCACTCTAATTGATGTTCTATCTTTACTACAAATTACTGATATTCTAATAGTTTAGTACACACTACTGTGGTGCAGTCCAATAAGGTGTGCATGCTTTAGGAGAATGCATACTCTTTATGTTATGTGGGTCAAGCCTCTCCTTAAATGGACTTGTATCAATGACTTCAACAGAAATCAGGGCTGGTTTTGACTGCTTTCTTTATATTCTAGTGTTTATTCTTCTCTGAAGCAAATAAAATTAGGTAATTTTAACTGGCTTATGGTAATTCAGTTTGGTGCAGAGTATCACAAAAAAACAAATAATAAACCAAAAAAAAACCTAAAGAAAATATTTAAAGACACACATTATGAATTAAAAATATTAAAACCCACAGACTAACTTCAAGAAGCAGTTTGTCAACCCTCAGGTGTGGTGATGCACAACTTTTTCCCTTTCATATATAAATAAAAATTCTTATTTTTGTTCAACCATGTTTTTGCAGGTCGCAAACAGTTTAGAGAAAGTTCATTAGTACTTTATTTCTTACCAGCTGCCACTATCTGTAACATAAGATGGATGAATCACCAGCTGACATAATGGGAAGGTTATATTGCATAATGCACTGTGAGATTATGTGAATAGTGTATTATACCCATTATAGGAGAATGTTGATGATATAAAACATTTGACACATGCTACCAACGTTATCACAGGGTTTTCTGTTCGTATCATGTCTATGTAACATGGAATCCTACAAAGTGCTGAGGCACTAATAATAGACATCCCATAGCTTACCATATTCATATTCCGTAACAGAAGCTACAAAGTCTAGTACAGCTACTTCCCAGCAGGACAATTTGCTCCTCAAACATAGGCTTTCTCAATATGCTGTGTACATTTGTGTAGTAATGAAGATTTTTCAAATTTCTTTGTGTGGGCAGGGCTCATCTGGTTCACTTATTTCTAATATTGAAAAGGGGGTTTCTAGGATGTTTTGGGTTTTTTGGCTATTTTGAAATTGTGTAAAATGATGATTATTAATAGGTGAAATTTTTAATGAAAAATTACACTTGGATATGAAATCTTCAAAGAAGGTTTATGCTTCTTTGAGTATGGCAATTTTTTAAAGGTAGAATGATGATACTTTGGTATGAAACCTCATTTTATTTCCATGAGAGAATGCTTTTTCACTGTTCTTTGTCCAGAATATACATTGAGCTGCTATATCACTACCATTTTGTCCATGCACAACCTCTTTCTTCTTCCTTGTCATTTTTGGATGCTGACTTCCTTGTTAGATTCATAAGACCTTGATATTTTCAGTTTTAGTTCTCAAAAACACCTATTCTGCCAATTATATAGCCGACTGAAGATTAGTCTTTAGCATACAATGCCTCATAACTCATGTGGTTTCTATACAATCATAAAATCAGAATTATTTGGGTTGGAAGGGACCTTAAAGATCACCTAGTTCCAACCCCCATGCCACAGGTTGGCACCCACCTCTCACTAGATCAGCTTGCTCAAAGCCCCAACAAACTTTGCTAGGGATGGAGCATCCACAGCTTCTCTAGGAAACCTGTTCCACTGCCTCACCACTCTCACAGTAAAGAATTTCTTCCCTATATCTAACCTAAATTTCCTCTCTTTCAGTTTGAAACCATTACTCTTCAATATAGTTCCTGATGAAGGAATAACTTTATCATAGACTCGCTCTGGCAGTATTTAAGTGTGTTATGAGAAAAAGCTGAATTTGAGGCGGTTGCTGCTGGACTGTGCAGCACAGTGATTGAACTGGAAAGTTTGGTCTTCATCGGTGCTGTCTAAGCTCCTGCTGAATCCCACAGTTGTGTTGAATTTTTTTCTCTTATAAGCTGTATGCCCAAGCCTGACCTTTACTGCAAGCTATGGATCATGGTTCAACACTAGCAGAGACAATTCAACTTAATGTGATCTTCCTAGCAAATATCACCTTTTTTTTTGTTAAAAAAAAAGGTGTGTTAAAACTTTTTTTACCCTTCTTTCTCTACCTAACAGGAAAAGTATGGTAGAAGATGAAAGATGTCTTGTTTGTTATTTAGTATATTTTAGCCACTTCAGGACTGGGAAAGTCTGAAGACATGATAATTGAATGGATTGTACACTGGAAATGTACACTTCTCCATATGAAAAGGTAAAAAAAAGAGACCAAAGAAAACCAAAACCCTGACACTTGATTTTATCAGTGGTGGTGTCTTACGGAAAATAAGGCAGTTTCCAGAAATGATTTATGCATGCAAGTTAGGGAAACATAAAAGTTCATCCTAGATTTTCCTATCTGCTAAGTCTTCCTTTGATTTTATTTTAATTAGCCAAAGATACAGTTCTCTTGCTCACTGACATTAGGAAGAAAAATTCATGGTGACTCTTCCAAAAAAGTTTGAATGGAGAGGAATAGATCGTTTGAAATAGGTCAGAGAGTTTCTCAGAACTAATTACACTAATTTACTGGCACTTCTCTGACTATAATTTCAGCAGCACTAATTCCTAAATATTGGAATATCTTCAGTTTTATAGTATCCTGGTTGCTCTGCCAAGAAATGTGATGTTTAAAACATAAGGCTTCTAACTGATCTTCAGTTTCTTGTTATCAGCTAAAGAAACGACAATCTGGTTAAAAATTAGATTCATAACTTGTCTCTGCATGAGGTAGAGAAAGGAAATGTACTCATAAGAGCTAGAAAAGGTCTGAGGCGAAGAACTAGGCCAAGAAAACATCCTGGCATCAGTATTTTTGCTGTACCTCTCCCCACATTTTACCTAGTGTAATGGGTGTAGGTGGCAATGCCTTGGCAGTGAGATGGCTAAAGAGGGGGGACTTTCCTGTGTTGGATGCAGTTGGTTCCAGCTGGCTCCAGTGGACCCACTGCAGGGTACAGCTGAGACCCTCAGCCAAATATAATTAAGAAAGGGTAAAACACTGCACCGGAGCTGAGAGAGGAGTTAGAAAGAAAAGAGCAAGAAATAGCCCTGCAGACAGTAAGGTGAGAGGCAGAGAGGGAGGAGGTGGTCCAGGGGTTAGAGCAGAGCAGAAACTGGAGCAGATATCCACACTGTAAGCCATGAAGGACCCCATGCTGGAGTAGGTGGATATTTTCTGAAGGAAGATGCAATCTGTGGAGAGTCCATGCCTACATCCCATGGGAAGGACCCGTGATGGAGTGGAGTAAAAGTGTGAGAGGGAAGGAACAGGAGAGAAGAACTGTTATGGACTGACCACTACCCCCATTTCCCATCACCCTGCTCCACTTGGCCATGAGGTAGAGGAGTCAAGAATGAAGGAGTTAAGTCAGGCCTTGTAGAAAGGTTGAGGTGGTGCTTTAGGTTTTTTTCTCACCATTTGAATGTATTTTAATTAGCAAAAATTTAAATAAATTTCCCCTAAATGGATTTTGGTTTGTCTGTGAAATGGTAATTACTAAATGATCTCTCTGTATTTATTTTTCTCCCTGTCCCTCTGAAGAACAAGAGGGCACCTGAGTGGCTGTTTGGCAGCCAACCAAGGTCAACCCACCACACCTATGTAGTTAGTAACCAGTCTTCAAATTCTTTGTTTCCTTGAAGGGAGTTAGATGACAACTAATCTGCAGAAGTAAAAGGAAGAAGAATAAGACAAGAGGATAGAAAAGCACAAAAGCAATTTAATTGGATAGTGAGGTCATCGGATGTCCAAAATAATAAAGAGTTTTCTTTTTTCAAATATTATTCAGAGGGAAGTAGAATCTATGAACTTCATAGGGCCAGATTTTCATCATTACAAATCATATCTCCTTTGCTTCCATAATAGCTATGCCAATTTGTGACAGATGATGATGTATGGTACCTTGAAATGATCTTGCAGTCCGAAGCAGTTTAGAAAACCTGTCTTTTAGCATAATAAAAGAGACTGTCTAATGTTTATTGATTTTTTTTGTGTCTGTGTGTGTGTGTTTTTTTCCCCAGTGTTTCGCATTTCGGAAATAGGAACATATATTTGAAACTCTAATGATAAGGTTAAAATTCCCAAGGATTCAACAAAAACTAGGATAGAAACAAGAGAGAAGATGGTGAAGGTTGTAGGATATGTAGTACAGTATATGGATATTTAGAGTTTAGGTCTCTAAGGCATAATCAGAATCTAACTTGCATGTGCAATATAGACAGTTTTGTCAGAGCTCTCTCCTTGCCTAATGCCTTTTCCCCACAATTCTTCTATGTTTCTTTGCTTTGCTATTTTCTGTTCCAAATGTTCTGCTTTTTTATCTACTCTTTTTTTTTTAGCCCTCCCCTCCATTACTTTCTAGTTCTATTTTACAATCTTTTCATAACCCAGCAGTTACAGTTTCCACATTCAGTTTCAACAAATGTGTTTCATATTAAGCAAAATGTGCACTTCCATTATTATTGAACATACTCTTCTTTTGAGAAGTAGTAGTAGCTTGGGCTATGTGTGCATTACTATGTATGACTATATACAGAAGCTTTTCTGCTTTTCAGAAAAGCACAATAAAATCTGTATGGTACTTTACGGAGCTGTGAATCAGCATATTTTTTGCAGTTTGTGTTTTTTTTTAGCTTAGTATCTGAGATCAGAATTGTTCCAAAATATGTTCCAAAATGTGCAAGTTTTCTTTTAATTATCTTTTAACTGATAAGATTAATTGACAAAAACCAGCAAACTGAACTGACAGGGACAGTCATTCTACTGGAAAACAGTAATAGATATATACAACAAGAAGAATCCCCCAAAAATGGTAAAGATCTACTTGTCTTGGAAATATTACAAGGATACATTTACAAAGAAAGTATTGCTGTAACACACTAATAAATTCAAATTCTCTATTAAAAATATTAAATATTTTAGTTGATTAAATAATATCAGCTCCTCTACTGCTCAGCACAACTTGGATGAACTTCAAAGAACATTAAACAGAGATTTAAAGAAAATTTAACTCTTGTCACTGCTGAAAAAAAATTTCTGTTCATTCAAGATAAATGTTTTTCTGAACTCAAATTTTTCACTTTAGAAAAGTGATTCAGTCCCTGCTTAAAGTATAGATATAAGAATCTGAATATGATGCTTACATTGTGATCTACTTACTTACAAATAAAGTTGACAATAAAGTTTAAAGGACTCTGTTTAAGTATGAGTTGATTTATCTATCATCTGTGGATGATCATACTGTTCCATCCTTTCCTTGCAAGTACCAACCTCTGTTACAAAATTTCTCATTTTTTGTATATCGTCATTCTTAATCTTCCACAACCTCATTGCTTTGATGCCTGTGGCTTCTCAGCCTATTGTTAAAAGTTTATGCTTAAAAATAAACTTCAAATTTCAGTTAGATATGTCTTTGGTGTTTTTCCACTTCCTGTTTCTTCGCAAAGAACAACAAAATCCTTTCTTGATTTACATTTTGCTGAACTTCCGTTTCTGTTATAGAACAAGTATCCCATATGAGAGGTCATATTAAGACCCCTTTTTTTTTCTGGAGGTTAAACTTCCAATTTTCTAAGTTTCAGTTTTAAAAGTTGGACTCCGTATTTTTAAATAATTCTCTCCAGGACTACTGACTCATAGAAAGTGGGTTAGGAAAAGATTCCAGTTTACCTTTCTACTTGGTGTAGCACCATATATAATTTTCTACAGATGGTTTTCCTAATATCCTTCTAACTCTGCTATTAATTTTGATGTCTGTATGAGAGTGATTACTTTTCCATAATCTTGTTTGATTCATAGAATCAAAAATACCAGGTTGGAAGGGGACCTCAAGGATCATCTGGTTTAACTTTTCTTGGCAAAAACATGGTCTAGACAAACTGTCCCAGCACCCTGTCCAGCTGAAATTGTGTGAGGTTGGAGAATCCACCACTTCCATGGGGAGATTTTTCCAATGGTTGATTGTTTTAATGGTGAAAAATTTTCCTCTTGTGTTCAACTGGAATCTCCACAGCAGTAACTTGTACCCAATACCCCTTGTCTTTTCCGTGTGACTCCTTGTAAAAAGAGAATCTCCACCTTCCTTGTAGCTGCCCTTTAAATACTAGAACATGATTATAAGATCTCTTCTAGACCTTACTTTCTCAAGGTGAACAAACCTAATTGTCTCAGCCTTTCCTCGTATGACAAGCATCCTTGTTTTTTGGTCATCTTTGTGGCTTTTCAATAATCTTTGTGTTCCTTTTCTGAATCCTCTCCAACCTGACTACATCTTCAACAGTAACATAATTCAGTCAGTTTTTTCCTATCTGTTTTTTGCTTTCAGTTTATAGAAGTTAACTCAAATATTATCCAAGTTTAATGATTTTGCACTTTGGACTACTTGATCTTACCCCATTGTTTTTAATATGGTTCATGTATCAATGTCTTTTGAATCTTTCTATATGATTTTTCCATGTTCCTTGTACTGATATTTTCCATCTTTGTCTTATCAATATATTTCACCATTCTATATCATTGAAAATGTTGAATTACATTGGTCTCATAGTTTTCTGTGGTTTCTGATGCTTAATGATCTTTACAACAAGATAATGAAAAACTATAGAAAATTTCTAAGTTAACGTTACTTTCCATGATTATGCATGGCATTTTTTCCATTTTCCAGCAATGTCATAGTGAAATACCCAGAGAATGTTAGGAATTAGACCAAAGTTCCAGATATCAAAGACAAATTAGGAAAACTTGAAGAACCAGCTTTCATACTTCATATCAGATCACCGGGTAAAACTTGACCCTGTCAGACATTCTGATCAGTTAGTCTAAGTAATGTTAATATTAGAGAAAGCCCTCATAAGTACCATATCCTTTACATGAAAACATGATCTAAGAGTATTGCACAGAACATAGTTAATCACATATTAATTAAATCATAATTAAATCACAGTCATATACAGAAAATATTAGCAACATAATAGCTACATCAAGAGTCATGAAAACAATTTTTCAAAACAAACTCAATGTAAAAAAAAAAATCAATATAATTATGTTTTGGGGTTTTTTTCCATTTCATAATATGATTCTTTCCCTAGACACTAAAGATAAATCTATGGTTTTTTGAACCATAAATTTTCTAGTCTCAGTTGTAGTACCTTGTATCAATAACCTGCAATGTAATCTGGCTGCAGCTGACTGATTGTGCATTATCCTCCCTCTGGAAGGGAAAATCTTTAGTATTGCTCAGCCCAAGAATATTTTCAGCACATAAAGCTCCTGACCCTGAGACAGACTTCTCTGCCTGAGATAAGGAAAAGAAGGGAATGGCTCTTTGTACATCTTGACACAAGTGTTAGCTTTGTGGATAGCTTTTCAGAGCCAAAGTGGAGACTAAAGTAAGATAAGAATCAGAGTGAATACCTGTGTCTCTGATTTCACCCTTCTCACCCATACTCTTGTGGGAGGCTTTGATATGAGTCTCAGCAGCAGAGAGGATGCCAAGAAAACTCACCACTCTGATGCCATCTTACACTCCTCTAACATTACTTTACAGTCTAGAGGCAAGGCTATTGCACTTCTACTCCTCTGTGGCCCTTGTAGCTGTTTGATCTATGGAGTCAGAGCACAGTACAAGGATAATACACATTCCAACACAGGACAGCCTGTAAAATAGACACAACTTCAACAAATTGCTTCACTTTGGCGATGACATGACTTAAGCTAACCTTCCTTCTCAGGATGGTAAAGGTCCTTGTAAAAATCTGAGTGTGCTTCAGAGAGGTATACTTGAGAGTAGGAGAGAAAATGGCACACCTAACAGACTTTCCTATGTGTTTCTTCATTTCTTAGCCTATCACACTTGATCACTTGATGTGATCTAGTTCTCATTATTTGTATTTAGAACACTGTACACTGATACCAAATTTTATTTTTTAGCTTTATTTCTGAACTATATGAAAAGAAAAATATATGGATTATAGAATAAACCTGGACTGAAAAATGAAAAATTACTATTTATTTGTTTGTGTACTTAGCTAGTAAGTGTCAGTTGTCTATGATTTTATTTTATTTTCATTGTTTTACTGTTATCAGATCCGAAAGGGAAGCTGCCAGGCAAATTGCTTACTTTACAGATCACTGGTTAAACTCCAGAAAGTCAGCTGGAATAAAAAATGCCTGAGCTCAGAAAGAGACTTCAAAGTTTTTGTACCATTGTTCTGAACTTCTGATCCATAAAAGAGTTATCAGAACTCAAAAGTAAAGTGATCTGCTGAACACTTTCAAGCAGAATGATTTGGGTTATGAATTAGATTAGGAAATGCAATTACAAATTACTATATATCTTGAAATATGAATAAAAACGTGCTCATTTTTATCTCAATCTATTGCAGGTACAAGTAAACTTTAAATCAGGCATGTCGTCAATTTTAATAAAAATGTTTTTATCAAGATGAAGCCTCTTCTTAAGATTAAGGAGATTTATTGAGACCAAAATGTCTGTTTCTGAATTATGGACATTAGGGAACTAGTGGTTCAATAAGTTTTCAATTTTACAAAAGGATAGAAATTACCAGATTGCCTGCTCAGGGGTCCATCCTATCTTAGGACACAACACAAAACTGAAAAAAAATGGAACTTTCCCATTGATTCCAAAAAACTCTGTCCCAGACCTTATAGTGGACCTTATGTAGCTCTTGAAAATGGAAACAAATGAACCATCAGAACAATTTTAGATACTTTCTTGGGAAAAGGCCAAGTTTTAACTCTTGGAGAGTATCCAATTTTGTATATGGGGAAAAAAAATTATCATGGAATGGTTCTTTAGCACTGTTAGTTAGGATAGTTGTTACGTTTCTAAAAGAAAGCAAAAGTAAATTTAAAGATGAAATCTGAGGTGTTTTTATCCATATAGACTTGTCTGTTCCCTTTGTAAGTCCCTTTAGCTGCTACAGAGGATTTTGGCTACTTATCATGAAGAAAATCCTTGTCTGACATACAGCTTCACGTTTGAGTTCTCTTCAAGACAGTAAAGAAAAACTCTGGTATAAAGCCCATCAGTAATTTTTGTTAGTATAAAAATTCTGAGTTGTCTTTTTGTTCTGAGATGGCTTCAGAAAATTTCAGCTCATCTTATCTGCTAAGAGTAGAGATTGAAGTACAATTTTTAAACAAATCTAAAGGTGTCATGTTTGTGGGGAGGGGTTGTACTTCCTATTTCAATTACTTCCTCAAATTTTTTATTTTTTTTTTTTTTTTTTTTTTTAGAATGCAGGGTTTGATTTTTTACTGAAGCCTCTTTTCGATGTATTCATGGGATTCCTTAAAGTCCTCTAGGGGTAAAATCTGAAATGAATTCACTTATCCGAGAAAAAAAAAAATACCACTGATATCATTGCCTAGGGAAATATTAGAAAAAACAAATAAATTATAATAGCAGAATCATTCCAAAGAGAAGAGAGACTCCAGAGACAGAGTGTTTTCTTGCATATACAGTACATTAGAGATGCAAGTTACCTCAAGACTTTCAATTGATTTGATTTTTCTGTGGTTGGTTTAACTCAATATTTCAAGGTCTTTGATTCTATATTAGGTTGCTCTTTGCCTCTTCATTATGTTTTTACTTTGAAATATTATGATCAGAAACACTATTTTGAATGTCATGTATTCACACATATTTGAATACACAGGAAGACATAAGAGCACTTGTGTTTTATATGACCTCATTATTCCCTAGGTTAAAGTGATTCTTCCCAAATCTTCATTTGCTAAACCTAGTCATGGAAGTGATTCTTGGTCACTTCTTCTCTTCACCACTCCAAACTCTTTCCCCCCACCCCTGCTCTTCCTCACATATACATTTAATACTTTAGGAGAAATATAATTCAAGACACTAGCTACTGTGGTAAAATAAGTGAAGATATTGAGGGTTCCTGTGAACAGTACATGCTTTTTGGTCAATTATTAAGAATGAAGTCTGTGATCATCTTCTCATGAATATCATGCTAAGCAACTTAGAGAAGGGGAAGGAGAAAACACATGATTTGTCTTTGCAGATTGCCCTAGACTCAACATACACTATAGGCTGATCTCAACTACATTGGCTATAATGGTACCTTTCCAGTAATTGAGGTCTGTCTTTAAACAAAGACAGCTATAAAACGAAATGCTGAAATGACTTTGATTCTATCATCTGAGAAAACATTAAGGAGTGAGGTAGCAACTGGATTTCTTTTAGTTTGTTCATTTTTAATTTTGGCAAGCTGTCAATAGCTAAGCAGATAGCATCCTGTATGACTTTTTTGAAAAACAAGAAAAATGATTCACATGTTGTAGTTACATTCATTCAACTGTCATATATGAAACATAACTGGTTTTTTGGAAAGTCATTTATTTAAACTGCTTCTATTATTTTGTAAAATCCCCTAGAGTCAATACAGACATTGTATGAAGAGTTTCCAACAGATTGATTTATGAGTTCAAGACTGACCATAAACTTTACTGTATGATATTCCTTAATGCATTTTTAAATGTCTGAAAACTATTAAACTGGATTAAGGATTTCATTGTTTGTGTTTATTTTTTTATGTGTCTTATATGTAAAGAGATTACTGTCTTTTTGTTTTATTAATATTTAGCAGTTTTATTCTATGTCAAAGATCTGAGGCATTATTTGCAATGTGTCATGCAGTTATAACATAGGTACCACCCGTACATTACAAGCAAAAGGGGATTTTTCGGCCCATAAGAGTTTACAAAAACACCTGAAAGATAAATATGATACCTAATTCTCTCTAAGAACCATGACAATGAGAGCAGCAGAGGAGCCCGTCATGTAGGGGAGGTGGTGAACAAAAGGGGTCAAAGTCAGACATGGTAATTCTCTGTGACTGAGCGGTACATCCTCCTCAGGCAAGGTGGGAGCTGAAACAGCTTTTCCATTCAATCTAACCTGCCCAGGGAACATTTCTGGGGATTCTTCAAAGTCAATTGTGAAAATACTCCTGTGTGGGAGACATAAGTGAACTCAGTGTCTCAAACCCTGTTGCTGGAGGTACAGTCAGATGCAGTGCAAGTAGTCCCCAGTCTACCAGCTGCCTCAGCGTCCTTACAGATAGGGTCCTCTCTGTTGAACAGACGCATGAGACCTATCAGCAGTTTGTGTTACTGCTGCCTGATACAACTACAACCATGTTGTTTGTGTTTATAATAAGGCCTTCTGCCACTTGGTCATCTCTTACTGGAGTAGGCCTTATTGCTATAATTACTGAGAGGTGTCTCTGCTGCACTTAAGGTGATGCATATCTGCTCTGATGTGCGACAGTGTGATCAATGCTATTTTCACCACAAATCCAAAACATAGCCCTGTACAAGCTACTATGAGTAAACTTTATTCCATCCCAGCCAAAACCAGTACAGGATGAAAAAAAGAAAAACCCTGCAAGTCAGTAGCTGTGTTACTTGGTCATATCAACTTATCATATACAAACTGGTTGCCTCAATAACAGTTTGAGGTGAATCTCCATCCTTCCTCAGGATATAAGTAACATGTTCAAGTACAAAAAACCCCCATATGGAATATTATACGTTAAGCTACAAATATTTTGGTACACTGCAGACATAAGAAAAAATATTGATAAACTTTCTCCAGATATCTCTCATCACTCATCCTGCATGAAATACTTTAGAAATGGAGAAATACCTTCATCAGAGCAATGTAAGACAGATAAAACGTCACAGGTGGGTGCATTTATATTCTGTATTGTTACACTTTGATTCTACTTATTTGTTCTGCATCTCTGTATCTCAGTGAACATAATTCAGATTTGAGTTTTCACAGTGAAAAATCAGTAACAAAGAAAAATCACAACTAATTAGGTCTAGACATTTTTGTCACATATTTCATTAAATTCTTCTGTAAAATATGGTCTATTACTTCTTATAGGAGTGTTTAGGAGCTTCTTTGGTGGAAAAAGGCACTGTCTGTAAGTGTGAGACTTTCACAGCATTCTCTTCTATTCTGACCCAGTCAAATACGATTCTGTGAGAGTAAAACTGTTCAAAATACATTATAGAGTTGAAACCTTTTCCAAGACCTGTATTGAAAATAAATATATAATACTGAAGAAGTAGATAAAAACAATAATGATCTAATGTTATTGATTGTATGCCACTTGTTTTATTTTCCCACTTCCTTGCCCTTTTTTTCTGAATATTTATAGATTATAGATCAAGATGACTGCTTTTTAACTTGTTTCTAACTTTCCCATCTCTTTTCTATTACAGATTTTTATTTTTTCTATAATTCTGCTTATCTTCAGATTACTTTTTAAATTTCTGTTAGCCTTTCTTTTTCTTATTTCTCTTAGCTACACTATCCTCATGTAATTTTTAACTCTTTTTTTACTTTATATAACTTATACCCCCCGGTTTTTTTTACACATTTCCTCTTATGCTTCTTTTCATCCATCAATTAAAAATATGCAATTTAATTTGAACACCAAAGGTCTGGAAACATCAAAAAGGCCCCGTGTGTTATGCTATCTATGCCAGGTTTTATTTTACAGGAACATGAGGTAGGGTATCATCTGGTAGGGTGGATTAATATCCACTACTGTTGGATCGTTTCCACTAACAAGCATTTTTTCCTACTGTCTGTT